CAGGTTGGCCATTTAGCAGTCTTATTGCCTGGAGGTAGAAGCTGTTCCGTAGTCTGTTGGACTTGGACCGAATGCTTTTGTACCAGACTGTAGGAGGGAAAACAGTTTGTGACGGATGACTGGGGTCCTTGAGAATGGACCTGGTCTTCTTCAGACATCTAGCTGAGTAGATATCCTGGATGCTTGGTAGCTCACAGCTGGTGATAAGCTGCGCTGACTTCACCACCCTCCGTAATACTTTGCGATCCCGTGCAGAGCAGCTCCCATACCGTGCAGTGATGCAACCAGTCAGGATGCTCTCAATAGTGCACCTGTAGAAGTTGGCCTGGGTATGTGATGGCATGCCGAACTTCTTTAGCCTGCGGAGAAAGAACAGGCGCTGCCGTGCTCTCTTGACCACGATGTTGGTGTGGTGGGTCCAGGTTAAATCCTCTGAGATGTTAACTCCCAGGAACTTAAAGCTGCTGACCCTCTCCACTGCAGTCCCATTGATGTGAATAGGTGTGGGGTCTCCACCCTGATGTTTCTTGTAGTCCACAATCATCTCCTTAGTCTTACTGATGTTCAGAGAGAGGTTGTTCTCCTGGCACCATACTGCCAGGGTTTCAAGCGAGTGTGAGCTTGGTCAGTACCTTGATGAGAGACGTCCTGGGAAAAACTAAGGTTGCTGCTGGAAGAGGTGTTGGCAGGGCCAACAGGGGGTGCTCACCCTGTGGTCTGTGTGGGTCCTAATGCCCCAGTATAGTGATGGGGGCACTATACTGTAAAAAGCTGCAGTCCTTCGGTTGACATAAAACCGAGGTTCTGACTCTCTGTGGTCATTAAAAAATCCCAGGTCATTTCTCAAAAAGTGTAGGAGTGTTACCCTGGCATCCTGGCCAAATTTCCCATTAGCCTTTACCAATCATGGCCTATTAATAATCCTCATATATGAACTGGCTTCATCACTCTATTCTCCTCCCACTGATAGCTGCTGTGTGGTAAGCTTTCTGGCGTACTATGGCTGCCATTGCATCATCCAGGTGGGGCTGCACATTGATGGTGGAGGGGAGTCCCCATTACCTGTAAAGCGCTTTGAGTGGAGTATCCAGAAAAGCACTATAAAGTGTAAGGAATAATAAATAATATTATAGATGAATAATTATAACCATATTGTTTTTATAACCCTGCAGGCTCATAGGAAGTTGTAGGGGTCACTTGTTTGATGGAAACCTAGAAATTCCTGTCTGACTAATCTTACCATTTTCATTAGGGAAATCTAGGTGACAGCTGGCTTTTCCAAGGTTCGGACCTGTGACGTTGGTGTCAGTTCAACCTATGCTTGGGTCAAGTGCTTTTACCTTGTGTTCTACATGTTATTCTGTGGTAGAAAGCCGCAGACAAAACTAATTACAGATATTGTTTCCACATTTCCTTTTTGATTCATGAAGTTCTGAAAACCAAAAGATCCTGATTGTTTTACGTAAATAATTGTTACCGTTTATCTTTGGTATTGAAGGGAAAAAAAATCTTTTCCCCTCCTAGCTTTGGTAAACTGGAAATCTGTTAACTCTATAATGACCATCAAAAGAAACCAATGTCTTAAATAAATTCACAAAGTTGTCATTAGGAAAATCCTTTATTTGAAGCAGATTCATTGACATTTTCTTGAGCAGACATGCCACAAATCCGTAATATTTAATTAATAACGCAGTGTATCAATGCGGGATTTTTAAGGCAAGCCACAGGTTAGTAGCCTGTGTGGAAGCAATACAAACCTTACCACATGTTTTGCACCAGGATCCATGTCCCCTCTTGTGTGTTTCTATCCCTTCTAGTACGGTTCGAACAAGCATATGTTAACTGGTCTCTGAGCCCTAGATGCCACGTCCTCCTGACTCATTCCACACCTAGTTGGTGGGGCTCAAATCTGGCATGTTGGGCATTCATGGCATAACTGTCACATTCTCATTTCACAAGAAAGCCATTGTTATACAAGCACCTTGAGGAAATGTGTTCTGCTAGAGTGGGAAGTCTATGTGAGTCTGCAGGAAGGATGGCCAGTGAAGTCCCAGGACTTTGATCAATGCAGTGCCTTGCAGTCAGGATGTCAGCAATAGATACTGACGGAGCTCCACAGTAACTCCAAGCACCTGCCTAGATCAGCATTAATGGACTTCCCTGTCAATTAAGGGAATTAGGGCAGCACGGTGGCACAGTGGTTAGCATTGCTGTCTCGCACTGCTGGGGTCCTGGGTGGTTCAATTCTGGACCTGGGGTGCTGTCTGTGTGGAGTTTGTATCATCTTCCTGTGTTTGCGTTGGTTTTCTCCTACAGTCCAAACACATGACTGTAGTTAATTCGCTTGTATTTTAACTGGCTTCTGGGAAAACTGGCCCAAAGCATGCGTCTCTGTGTGCCCTGTCTTGTGCCTGTTGCATGCTAGGATAGGGTCCAGCTCCCCTGCAACCCCGAGCTGGTATAATCAATTAGCCAAGGGATGGTTTGTCGTACTGAACAATTAGTGTATAATTCTGCAAATCTGTGCTGTCATCACTGATGTCCTTCACGGTGGTCTAGACAAAACACTGATTCATCAGCAAGAGGACTTAACACCACTGCAGTTGAGATCACCTGAGATGTTGTTCACACCACATCCTTCTGTCATGCTGTGCAATTGGTGAGGTGCCAGGACATGGTCTCCCAGTCCTACCATTGACTGTTTAGTTGTAATTTCTGGCAGTAACCATCCCTGATGGCAAGTGACAATATGCTAATTTAGTTTAGCCTCCAGCATATTGATAGCACAAAGACATTGTTCTCTTGATAAGCAGGGCAGGGTAGATTATTTTCTGTGTTTCTTTCTCAACTTACAGCATGTTGTTTGACTTTCAACATGTTAAATCACTTTATCACCCCTGACCAATCAACACTGTCTCTAATGAGGTTTAGTTTAGATTTAGGGCTAATCATCAATGATGCCAAAATCCATGTGCTTTATTTTAAAAAAAACATAGTTTCATTAATTGTTTAATGTTCAGTATATGTGGTGGCTGTGATTAAATGTGAAATGTTCAGTATAGAATTTGTGAGGAAGAATGGATTGTCAGTTTTTTTTTTTTAAATACAGGTTTCTATGATATGCAGTATGCACCATGTCTTCATAGCTGAATGCATGTTTATTACAACATTTATAGTTAAATAGTTTATATTTGAAGTTTTCTTTTTTTTAACAACCTGGATTTGTCATTTTGTGCTGATATGTAGACACTTAAAATTAATGTGATGATAATACTTGTTAAATGCCTAAAGTTTTACATTGCTAGGCAGAGCTGTGCAGAGGTGTTGATTTATGAATCCATCCATTTTTTTAACCACTTAATCCAATAGAGGGTTTTGGGAGAGTCAGAGCCTATCCTGGCAAACATTTTTAAAGTAATATAATTAAAATTGTCTTATCATGGATAATTCTTGTTGCTGAATATAAACAAGTGCATCTTAAGGACTTTTTTATTTCAAGCTTTATTATCCCCTGTGCCTAAATAGCAAGGTCTGACACAACAGTGCAACAAAAAAACACAAACATCACTGACAAAAGGATCTAGCACACCTGTGCTTCAGGAGATAAGTTATTTCATTTTGTTTGAGAGTCTGATTGCATTGAAGATGAAAGACTTCCTCAGTCAGTTACTATGTCACTTAGTGACACAGAGTTGTCTCCCAGAAGGAGTAAAGTAAATTCACAATGGGGGAGATAAACCTAAGACTCCTTAGTGTTTTTAGCCTATTTTACCTTTCTCTGTTTGTAGAGGACATTTATGCTGATCTGGTTTACCCCCAATCATTTTGTTGCTTGTCTTCATGAATTTTCCCAACCTATTACAATTTATAGTACAATACAATTGTACAATTGTATAACAAAAGAAAGACAGAGACAACAGGCAATGTGTAATAAAAATAACAGGCAATGTGCAAAACAGCAAAAAGGCAACAGGTTATGTGTAAAAATATGCATCAACAGAATGAAATAAAGGGATAGAAATTAAAAAGGAGTGAGCTTTTGACATGTATGGTAGAGGTAGATTTTCAATGTGTGTTTGGGTTTTTGGTTAGAAAGAAAGAAGGCACTGTGAGGTTCAGATCATAGGTGAGAGTGAGAGAGGCTGGGAGTTTAATAGTTTGATAGTGCGGGGGTAAAAACTGTCTCTGAGTCTGGTAGTCCTGGCCGGAATGCTCCGGTGCCGTTTTCCAGATGGTAGCAGATCATAAGGTCTGTAGCTGGGGTGTGTGGTGTCTTTGATGATGCTTAGAGCTTTCCTCAGTTCTGTTGTCCTTTTTGTATAAAACATTTGTCCCATCTTTGTCTATGACTAGTCCCAATTGCTTGTTTCATGGAAAACCTCAGCAGTCTGTACCATTAATTAGTAGTGGGCTGGAGGTGTATTACAAATAATCCTTGTACTTGTGTAGTGCTTTTCTGGACACTGCACTATAAGAACTTTACAGGTAATGGGGACTCCCCTTCACCACCACCAGTGTGTAGCACCTGCCTGGATGATGAGCAGGCAGCTATAGTGCACCAGTACGCTCAGCACACACCGGCTATCAGTGTGGAGGAGAACAGAGAAATGAAACCAGATCATAGAATAAATGTAAGCAGGCCATGATTGGTAAAGGCCAGGGGGAGATTTTTCCAGGACACCTGGGTAATACTCCTACTCTTTTTGAGAAACATCCTGGCATTTTTAATGACCACAGAGAATCAGGAACTTGGTTTTAGGTCTTGTCTTGATTTCTAATGACCACGGATAATCGGGAACTTGGTTTTACGTCTTACGTGACGTTTTACACTCTAGTGTCCCCATCTCTGTACTGGGATATTAGGATCCACACAGACCTGGTCAGCTTATTAAAGCCCACCCTGTGGTCTGTTAGAAGCAAACGTAATGTAATCTGTATGCATGTTTGTGCAAGTTTTCATTAAGGTTGGGGGAGGGCGGGTGGGATCCAGTTAAAGTGTAGCGTGTGGTTATGTAACGATTCTTTCTCCACTATGACCTGGTGAAACCTGGTTAGGAAGTCTGGAACCCATCTAATCAAATTACTGTTTAATTTGAATTTTGAATTGCTTTGAGAGTTTCTGTGCCGGCAGCAGTGGTTGTATTGTGTTCAAAGCAGAGGACCAATCAACAAATAAGATTTTTTAAAATGTCTTTGCTTGGTCAAGATGCCCGATGGCCATGTTTAACAATGAGTATTATGTCATTTACTGCCCTCAATTCTCTGTAAACTGCAGGGGGTCAGTAAGGTGTTGTATGCTTGTTGTAATGTGTTGCTTCTCTATTCTCTCCAGACTTTTAACTGGGGGGGATGTGAGAGCATCTGTAGCCATTAAACTCTGTGGCCCGGCATTTTTTGTGATGGAAACTGTGACTCAGTCTGGATGATTTGTAAAATTAAGGACATCTAGAAAAGCAGACTAAAACTGTGCAGGTCAGCTTAATGACTAGATTGAGGAACTTTGCCACACGTGTTAGCTGGAACTGCACTTAATTCTTCTGAACTGCCTGCACACCCAACAGTGTTAATATTGATAAATGCTTACTGAGAAATGACCACAGTTAACTGAAGTGTTGTGGATTTTGATTAAGAAGTGAGTATTGCTCATAGCCATGATATACTTTTTTTTTGCCCTGCACTGATCATTAGGTTTATTGATCTCCCTTTGTGCACCTCTTTTTCCACTGCCTTCCTGAGGTGTATCTGCATGAGATAAAGATTGTGGACTTAGAATCACCGAATTATGCCTCAGGGTTTATGAAAAAGAATCTCTGCAAATGTTAATAGTCACTACGCTCTTCTGTGTTAGGGCGTCCTGTAAACTGTCTCTCTGAGGATCCCAGGATGTGAGCTATAGCTTCTTCAGATGCTGTTGATGCCATCAGCCAAATGTGGGAGAAATGGCTGGTGTGCAGCTGGCTGATTCAAGCTTGATGAAGTGATAGTTTCTTTGCTTATCTCATTCCCCTGTAGCTGTACATGGTCCTATAAGTTTTCAGTCACTGAAATCACAAAAAATACATATAAGTGCTCTCTCCCTTGATGATGGGGTTTCAGAAAACACACACGTTTGACTTTTTGTTCACTATAGGAACTGAGTGATAGTTAACTCTTAAAGTTACATAGTAGAAACAAGAATAATAATTGTTTATGAAGGCAGAGTGGTTGGATTTCCAGGTCACCCCCTTCTGCTATAGAGCTGTTTACTGACTGCTACATTCTCTCAGCTGATAACACAACTGTTGTGCTTCTGAAGAAACGTAATTATCAAATGGTGCAGAGGGTCACAGTCTGTGAAAACCTAAGCAGTTCTCCCCCAGCATTGCTCACTAACAGGTTATGAATTAATCCTGGAGGTATTTCACAATCGCCAAACACCAGTGAAAATTAGTAGTTGTCTATTCAGACAGATTTTCAGATTCTTTCCCAAAACAGTTACCTCACACCTTGTTTATTCTTATAATCTGAAATAGCAGAAGTATTTTTAGCTGTGTGTGGTATACACTGTTCCTGCAAACAACCTCCAACTTTGACCTTCTCAGAAACACTGGTTGACATATCTTCTGCCTTAGGAAGATTGCAGAGTTTCTATATAATAATAAGAGACTTCTAAGCCCCACTATGTTGTAACTTGCAGTGTGTGGTTATAGTTAACTATCTGAAAAAGAAGAGTATTCCACTCTGTCTCAAAGCCACATATATAGTGAGGAATATTATAATGCAAGAGTTTATTTTGTAATGTCTAGTGTTGAAGTGAAGTTATTGTGTAGTGTATGAATGCATTAGGAAATATATAAGAAAAAACATTGTTGTGTAAAACCTTACAAAACGTTTACCATTAACGAATTATGCTTACTTTATATAGGGAGACAATGCTATCAAGCACGGGTATTTCTAGTGAGAGCACAGTTCATAAATGAAAGAGCCAGACTAGGTGGAATATTATTGAATACATGCTTTTATTGAATTTTAGAAATACTAAGGGGTTTGAATAAATGTAACGCTTTTGTTTTCTGCTACTAATGCTGAATACCTATGCGAGTTCCATTCTTTTATACTGAAGGGCAGGGAGCTGCAGTCCTGGTCCTGGAGAGCCCCAATCCAGTTAGTCTTATAGGTCACCTGTTTTAAACAAGTAATTTGTTAAATCGGAGAACTATGATCCTTGAGGGATGAAACATACTTAGATTCTAGCCCTAATGATCTCTGAATGAATTTAAGAAATCACCTGTTTAATTGATCATGATAATGTAGTCGTTCCAGATTTGTAAAATCTGGTGATTGTATGCTGACCTGTTGGACTGGGGCTGGAGACCCCTGCCAGAGCAAAACAGGAATCCTTCTGAGGCTTTGATAATTGCTCCCAAGTCTTCCGATTGCTCTTCCAAAAAGAAGAATGGTATTATTTTTAGTGGGTTTTGCTTAAAAGAATACTTAAAGGTGAAAATAAATCAGACCCTCATGTATAATTGGTGCAAGTTATAATGCAATATTAATTATAACAAACGTGACTTGCAATTACAGTATAACATTTTTAGAATTTTTGTACAAGATGCGTTTTCCAATCCATACCCCCTTAGGGGGCTGTATATACACACATTGCACACACGTTCTGTAAGAGTCTGTGCAGCAGCGACCAGAGGAGCTCCGAGTGGGATCAGGTTAGGGGCAGTGGTGTTTGCAGCCAAGATACACACAGACTTGGAAGCCATTCTGCACTGCATGATAGAATAAAGCACACTCAGCTTTAGGGAGGGGGCAGAGCAACAGGCAAGACCCCCCTGAAGATGTGAGCAAGGTTTGATAATGGCGGAGACTTCCAGCCAGCTGCAGGAGGAGACTGCTTGCTGCAATCTGTGTACCCTCTTAGGCAGAAAAATGCACTTGCAGCACATTCCCTTCCAATGCGTCATTAACAGCAGCATGGCATGCCTGTGCTCAGAAATGAAAAGCAGTAGCACTAATGGCCGAAGTGACAGGCTTGGAAGAGCGCTCTGATCTGCACTTCGCGGACCAGCTCTAAGAAGAGCAAGGGAGCAGCTGGAGCTTAGCTTTAAAGGCTTCATAGTCCCACAACTTTGCATGATGAAAGCGCAGTTTTAAAAAGTGCATTGCATCACGAGAGTGTCTTTCTAGATAAGATTTATGGAAGCTATTTGCTTATATGATGCATGCGACGCATGACAAAGTCATGAGCTGCTTATTGATGAAACACTCTTAATTTCTTGCAGTTTGTTACCACTCTTTTTTACCTTCTCATTTTCATTGTAGATGTTTTTTTTTTCAGGAAAAAGTTGCTTAAGTGATGTGATTACTTTTATGTTTATTGCTTATTTTCTGTAGTGTAGAGCAAATGGCTGCTCTTAGGAATTCAAAATGGCATCCTTTAAAATCTCAAAGCACAGAAATGGGTTTGCTGTCAAGATGAGAATTCTTTTGTCAGGATTGCCCAAAAAGTTTGTTTTGAGGACTGTACAGGATTTTTTTTTAAATCTGTTATGAAACATTTATATTAAGCAAAGGAACCCCCTTTGGTTAAAATTCAAGAAAACACTATCTTGTTCTGATAAAATTGTTTGGCTTCTAAAATAAAATAAAAGGAGGTTTCAGGTGTTCAAAATTGTATTAAAAGACTAAAGATGTATCACATATGGGACTTGTTAAGATCATCCTGTTTTTCTGCAGGCCTTTCCATGTGGAGCACCGTAATATTGTAGAGGAAGATGCGCAGGAGAGAGTGTCAGCAGAGGCCTCCGTGATGAACAGCCGATTGCACTACTACAGCCGGCTCACAGGCTCTTCCGACAGGCTGCTGGTAGGACAGATCTGTCAGCTGGAAGTGCAATGTTGTTCACACCACTTGCTCTGTCTCCAAATGATTGTACTTGCGACACCTGGAATTCATTTTTCAGACTGGAATTAATACAATTGCTTGGGCATTTGAGTGTACACCTGTCTCTTTTTATAAATAATATTTGGGAGTTTTGAGTAAAAGCCTTTGATTTACGTATTAATTTAATTTTAAAAATAGGTATAATTACACATTTAAATATTTAGTTATTAATTTAGTTTTGCTTTGATCCTGAATAATACTGAGGTTACATATCAATAAAATGTTAACATATGCTAAGCTGCATTTTATTTTTTGCATTTCTGCAACTTGTTGGGATATTGCGTCCTTATTCCTTATGCTACTCAAATCCAATAAAGATTCTCATTTTGCTGTTAAAACTGTAAACCATTCGGAGATTACAATGTATGTTGGAGTTCCCTTCTAGTGCAGAATGGAATCGGCACAAACATTGGAAAGGGCTTCTTACTGATGTCATGCAACCACATTCGTCCAGATTATTAGTAATAATCAAAGAGAAACTAGGACAAACATTTATTAACAATAACAAAAAAGGACATCCATCCATCCTTTCTTTAATCTCTTCTTCCAATTAAGGGTGGTGGGGAGTCTTAGTTGGAAGAAGAGGTTAGAGAAAGGATGGATGGATGTCCTTTTTTTGTTATTGTTAATATTTGTCCTAGCAACGGGCACAGGGCAGGGTGTACCTTGGACAGGACAGCAATTTGCATAAAAAGAACATTGCAATATAATATAAACTGTATCTCTGTGTACCTTTTATGTGTGTTTTTATCTTGACAGTCAAGCAGTCTTTGCATCAAGGAATGTGTCTCGCTCCATAACAGAAATGTCAGAGCTGTTAAGCTCCTACCCTCTTGGTGTTCGTAAATCACTGAATCCTAAAATGAAACTCAGTGATTCAAGAAGTAATCCTGAATTAAACGTATTTTGAAGGAGGATACTAGCTTATCACAGAGCTATTGCAAATACTGGTTTAAAAGGCAAACAAATTGAATTCATAGTCCCTGTTTGTGGGGTGGGAAAACCTCATGGACTTTGTCATGCCCCCAAAATAGAGGGCTTGGCCACCATCTGTAATATACATCCCATACTCTAAATGTCATGTATAACTTTTGAGTGGGCTCAAAAGATGTTTAATGTACTGCTTGTGTTCTGTTTCTACTTAGAGATGTTGGTTGGCCATTCTGAGTTTTTTTCTTTCATGGTAGGTTCCTCCAGATCACGTGATCCCTGCACCAGAGGAGATCTATGTTTACAGCCCTTTAGGCACTGCCTTTAAAGTGCAGGGGAATGTCGACGGGTCTGGGACAAACCCCAGTATTGTCACCATGTACGTATCATATGCTTCTCTATGAAAGCCTAGGAATTATTAAGAACAGAAAAAACACTTTGCTTTACAGAAGAAGTCTAATGCTTGCCATGTGTTAAATAAACTGTAGAAAAGGCATGTTTTCTAGTAATTGTTTTAAAGACATGAAACATATGGATCAGATAAGAGAATTTATTAACGAAAGCGATGTACAAATAGGTAATACATTTTTTAAAGATTTATGGATAGGATTTTATGGTAAAAACAAGTTCAAATCATGCAGTCCCAGTTAAAAACAGACGATATAATGGATAAGTTACAGTTTCATGGAACAAACATAGCGCAGTGTGGTTGAGTGGCTGTATATTAACTTAGGTCTTAAGTTTTCTTAAATCAAATTTTCCAAAAGGCAACTAAGCTTTGGAAACAAGAAAGATTATTTCTTTATGGCTCATCCCTACAAAATAGTATAGGAAACAGACTTTTTTAATAGTAAAAAATATTAAATAAAAATACACTACTAAAAAGTTATTAGTATACCTGAAGAACTACCTTTTGTCAGGTAGTTTATTCTCTTCGCTTTTTGTTGGTCAGTGTCATGGTCAATTTAAAATATTGTTGTAGCTTGCAGCATAATAAAGAAATGCAGCCACAATTATACATTGGAGGTTTTCGATATCACTCAGAAACCCTTTTATTATAGTTACTACCTGTAACAGTAAACAGTGACAATCACATTGAGACTAATTGGGCATGAAAATTTCAGTAATAGACATGAAATGTTGTTATAACTGGATAATCAGTAATTTGAAGTATTAATCCATAATTTATCATGGTTTCTTACAACACTTAACACTGATACATTTAGCTGAACAATTTGTTTGTTGTTGGATAAGAGATGGCTAATTTGGGATAGCAGAGTGTGTTCGTTTGCATCTCAATCAAAACTATGGCTGATGCTGGGAAGCAAATTGTATCATTGCCTTATAATTGTACCTCAGGGTTTTGGTATTGAGTCCTGTCTTCTGGTATAATTACCAAATCTCCCATATCAAAAGCCCGAACTATGCATTTTACAATGCACATGCTGTTTGCTTACAGGTTTCATGGTAGGAACCCACGTGGTAGAAACTCACAAGTCATATCCCTAACACTGATGTGTAAAAGCTTGTACACAATGTTTTTAAAAATGTGCATCACTCAAATTTTTTAAAACTCTGTACTTCTAATGCACTTTTGTTTCAGTTCCTATTGATTCATCCTGCATAGTAGTTCATTACATTGTTTACAATTGTTTCCCCACTTGTAGTTTTGCTATTTGGAATACAATGATGGGGACATCTATTCTGAGTATACCATGGGGATTAAAGCAGGTGAGTCTGTGCCATACTTTGTATCCTACTTTAAAAACTTTGTTACAATGTGTGTATGTTACTTCTGTCAACGGTTATTTTTTTCATTTCAGGCTGGATTCACACTTGGCATTCTTTTAATTATTTCAATGGGCATGCTGACACTTTACTGCTGTTACAGAGTGTTAAAATCCCGAACATCAATATGTAAGAATCTTTTTTTAAATCTAAAAACCTAAATTTTGAAACATACTGTTCAAAATAAGTAAGGGAGAAAATATAGAATGTTCATTCTGTCATCTCTGAATTATAGCCAGAATCTGTTTGTCAGGACATTGTACTTTAAAAAAAAAAAGTTGTGGTAGAAGCAAATCTACTGTCACTACAAGTTATAGGGTCAAGTAGTAAAATGATTACTGTAGTTTGTTGGTCAGTTAGTAGAACTAATCTGCTGGACAGTTGTTATATTTTTACCATATTATATTATTACCATACATTATTACATTTTGTTCTGATGGATGATATTATCTGGATCATCCAGACGTGGTCAGAGTAGTTGCTGTCAAGAGAGATAGACCTTTAGTTGTGAACCCAGAAACTTGAAAGGTTATCGCTAGAGGCCAGTTTTGTAATGTGAGCAGGAGGTATTGTATCTCTTTTAATCAAACTAAACTAAAACAATATTCCATCCATCCATTACTTTAAGCAGTACATTTTTAATTTTAAATTTAATCTAAACTTAAAAGATTAGGCACTTTCCTTTTACTGTTACCAGACGTATATAATGGAATAGTCCACCTGTCCATCCATCCAGAGCCTATCCTGGCAAGCAAGAGTCTCAAGGCAGGGCACACCCTGAATGGGAAGCCACCCCATCACAGGGCACACACAGACACAGGGGCACACGCACAACAGGGATAGTTTTTCCAGAAGCCAATGCACCTACTAATATATCTTTGGACTATGGGAGAAAACTGGAGTACCTGGAGGAAACCCACGCTAGCACAGGGAGAACATACAAACTCCACACAGATAGCACCCCAGTTCCAGCATTGAACCCAGGACCCCAGCACTGTGAGGCAGCAATGCTAACCACTGTGGAATAGTGATACCCTTAAATACCCTTTTCAGTAAAGTGAGTTTCCTTCATTTAAAGCTTCACTGTTTTGTATAACTCCTGATGATGCGCTGATGATGTACAGTAACTACTGTTCTGTGCCTGTTTTTCTTTCAGCTTTCATAGATACCTCAGACTGGGAATTTCCTGATGTTTGCAAATATTATTTTGGTTCATTTGGCCGGTGGTCTAGCCTAGTTTTCTCCATGGTTTCTCTGATTGGAGCCATGGTGGTTTACTGGGTCCTCATGTCCAACTTCATGTACAATACAGGAAGGTTTATTTTCAGTAAGTATTCTCATTACTATATTTCTTTATTACTATATTGTAATCTGTTCAATGGTCATGGGAGTACTAGAATGATCGAGTAAGAAATTACGTCCCTTTGTCACAGTATACCTACCATAGGACTGGCTAATACAGTGAGATCTTCACCTTAATGCCAAAACCCTCCCTGCTGGCCCAGTTCAAGATCAGCAGTGGCTATAGGATGTTTCTGTGTCTATTCCATCCATCTCTTTTGTAATACGTAACATTAATTATTTGCTGTGGTGACAGACGTTTCGAAGGGCACTGTGTAATACATATTGTGTTTGAGAAATGCTTTGTTTTAGGCATTGTAATTTTTGAGAATTTTCAGTGAATACCGCCAATGTTTGCTTGTTGTGCTTTAGCATTTAATATAAAAGGAAATTCTTTCTGTTTCTAGATTATGCCCATAATGTCAGTGTGGCTGATTCTGAGTTTGAAACAAATGGAACTGAGAGAGGTGAGCTTCTCTATACTACATTCTAGTAGATTTGCCTGCTGAATTGGTTCTTTAAAACATTTAAAAATGAGCTCACTTATTTGGAACTTTTGTACTGCGGTACAAGTCTAACTTTTTCATCTTCAAACATTACAAATAATTGACAATGAGTGTTTTGAACTGTCCTGCTTGTTTTCCATGCGGTTCATGTTTCTGTAATTTGTTTTCCAGTGATTTGCCCATACCGTGATGCAGAGCACCATGCAAATTGCAGCGGTGACGCGTTTTTTTCGAATGACAACAGCACGGTTACAGTGCTATTTGACAAGTGGTGGAATAAAACGAACACTGTACCCTTTTACTTAATCTTTCTCCTCTTGCCCTTGTTAAACTTCAAATCGGCATCTTTCTTCGCAAGATTTACCTTTCTTGGTAAGCTAACTGTTTGAGGCCGTTGCTGCAGTGACAATTTCTACTGTACTTGGAGGGTTAATTGAAGCTCAGAAAACTACCATTTCCTGTAAGACTGATTGGACTTGAGCACTGCATTGGGAACATGGTCTATCTCGTGTTGCAGGAGATGTTTCAGGAATGCCTAAAATGCACGTCTGTTCATTTTTCAGACATTATCTAATAACATCCAGAATAGAAGACAGTGCTCAAAAATGTATAATTTTAAATCTGCTAATATAGCTGATAAATTAATTAAAACATGAAAGCTTTGCCAAAAAATGTCTTTGGAAGATACTAAGCAGTATATCTAATTTTATTTAAATAAAGGCCTTCTAGAAGTTTACTATGTCGTACTGTGGTAAACGCACAGTGATGAGTGGTAAAGTATAGTGAAACTTTGTGTGAATAAGCATAAGGAGGTACATTAAGGCACAATGCAAGCTGTGGGACAGCCTGGGAAGACAGTAAAAGCCTGTGGTGTTAATGTGGTGAAAAGCCCAAAGACGATGCTTGTCTCTTTCAAAAGAGCAGTGCTGACACTTTTCAAACATGCCAAAACCAAATGTATCAGTATAGCAGTAGATTGGGAAATATGTTAATTTAATACAACATGCAAATTGCCTAAGCATGTCAATGCGGAGAGACTTCTCATGTATTCCCCCCTGTGAGTGTAGGTGGAAGATTACTAGCTCAGAATGAAAATGCCTCTTAATAAGCTGCTTTTAAAACTGGGATGTTAAACATAAAAGCCTTCTCTGTTTTTCCTTTTTATGTACTATTAATGTAGGCTGTTTTGATTTAAAATATGATCATGTTGGTATTACATCTGCAATAAAATTTAGAAAATTGAATCAGTGGCATCTCAAATGTTATTTCTCTTTAGAACTTATTTCATTGCCTTTCTCTTTTGTACAGGGACGATATCAGTGATCTACTTGATCATTCTGGTAACCCTGAAAGCAGCACACCTGGGATTTCACCTGGAGTTCCACTGGTCTGACTCAACACAGTTCTTTGTACCAGGTGTGGGATATTTGTCAGCATTCTGAGTTGACTCACAGTGAACACTTTTGGGAACTCCCAGCTATCCACAGTCAGTTAAAATGTTTTGCAAGTCATGCACAGCCTTTCATTTCTTCAATTTCTTGCCTGGGGTTTCACTTGGAGCTTCACAGGTCTGAGTCATCACAGGTCTGTGTGCCAGATGCAGCAGATTGTTTATTTTATCTGTTTTTATTAATTTATTTCATTTAATTTAAGGCAAGAAAAATACCAGATGTAGATCACAAGCCAGTGGCAGACCTTGTCTTATAATTTGTGTCTCTGGTTTGTGTTAATAGGAGAAGACTCTTTTAAGTTTAAGTCTAACATGGTATGACATACTTTTGCCTGTCATCTCTTATTTTAAAGAAATTACACTGCAAATAAGTCTTATGATCTTACAGTTGTGGTTATCTACCCTAGCCTGGGAGAGGAATGTCTGTTTTTTTGTTCTAACTAGTTTCTTAATTTTGGGCAAATTTAATAGTTTTTTTTATTATTTTAGGTGTGTTTTTAAATTTTCTTTCCATTCTTAAAAATGGTATATGGTTTATAATTGGTATCAACTCTGTGCCAGGTCCCGAGTTTTTGAACTACTTCGAGTTAGCTAAAATGTAACTACTTGGACCTAAGCAGAAAGAAAACATTGTGGGATTCACTGGCATTCCCATCTGTGTCTTGCCATAACAAACATCCCTATCAAGAGCTTTTAAGTGAAATAATGACACAAATTATTAATAAGCAACCTGATGAGAGACTACAAGCTATGTGTGCGGAAGTTGTTGCAAATAATATACTTGTGTAATTTTTAAATTAAGGACTAAGTGCAGAAAAACTTTAAACAAGCAAGCCGATCAATTACAGGCACCTATGATTCATTTTATTCCACCAGTTGGAATGAAAAACAGCATTCAGTTCTTTCATAGCTAGGGCTAAAAATAGCTCAGTATGGAAATAGTTTTTCTCATGAACAGAATGATTCTGATTGGAAATTAAAACTACTCAGCAAGGTAGCTTACGGACAGTTTACTAAACACGTTATGTAATTTTAACTAATCATGGTTCTCTCCTTCACCTTATCTGTAGTCATTACAGGCTTCAAAGATGCTGTCCAATTTCTCAGTGTAAAAGAGACTCCTCCTCTCCTAATTTACTGAAGACTTCAGCTGATATCACGCAGCACATGCAGTCTAAATTAATGTTTATTGTGGTTTAAGTGAAGTCGTGTAGTATCTTGTAGTAAGGTGGACCTTGAACTTCATAGATCGCTAAAATCATGACAGCCATTCTCGGACTAGTTCAAGTAGGTAGCATAGCATGCATAGGCTGCAAAGGAAGAAAAGGTTTATTCCATGCTGAAAAGAGAAGAAACGAAATGCACAATTTCGGCTGTGGAGCCCTCTTCAGGTCACCTTCTTGTGGCTCCACTACCTCAAGCTATACTACAGAATCACTCCTCATCATTCTATGGTGTGCACCCTATTTGCACTTCTTGGCCAATGTAGTATTCTAACAAATGTGTACTTTGATTTTGGTCTCTACCAAGACAAGCAATTAATTAAAAAAATGTAATCTATTACCATGTTTAAAAATTATCACAATGTAAAAATCATGCAATGATCTTATAGTACATTAAATTATATAGTGAAGGATCTATCAGAAGGATTATGTGAAAGTATTAATTGATTTAAGATACCTCTTCAGGCAGTTTGATCTTGATCAAGTTTGTTCAGGTTCCAAATATTCATTTATATACAAAATGATTTGTTTCATTGATACAAGATTTTTCAGATATTAATTTAACAGATTTCCTTTTCTTCATGTATGTACAGAGTTCAGGCTGCTGTTCCCACAGCTGACAGGAGTCCTTACACTTGCATTCTTCATTCACAACTGTGTGATCACACTCCTGAGGAACAACAAGAACCAGGAAAACAATGTATGTACTGTAATAACCACAGTCTGTGGTGGAGGCTTCAGTGTCGCCATCCGCATTAAATTGCAGACGATAAAGTTGGACTACACTTCTGAAATAATATCATTAAAAAACAGGGTTTCCAGAGTAGCTCAGCCAGAAAAGACAGTCACTCTGAGATTAAACTGCCCTATAGCCTAGGTGTCTCTAGTATAACTGTGGTCGTGTTGCTAGCTAGATGTGCCCAGGAACCGCAATGTAATTGCACACCATTACCAGAGCACCACTGGGCTAGAGTTGGGTTTTAGAGGCGCTTTTATTATGGAGCTATGTTACACACAGGCATACATTGCTGCCTCACAGCACTGGGGTCATGAGTTCAGTTCTGGACCTGGGGTGTTACCTGTGTGGATGTCCTCCAGGTGCTCTGGTTTCCTACCTAATGGTAGGTTGTCTTCTGCAAAAATGTACCCTGGTGCGTGTGCGTGTGCGTGCGTGCGCGTGCGCGTGCGTGTGCGTGTGCGTGTGCGTGCGCGTGCGTGCGCGCGCGTGTGTTGGGATGGACTGGTGTCCTGTCTGGGTTCTACCCGACTTGCGTCTGTTTCTTGCCGGGATAGACTCCAGCTCTCCTGCGACCCTGTATTGAATAAAGTGATCAGGAAATGGATGGATAAAGAATAATAGATTAATCTTTACGTTCTTTTTAGGTTAGGGATTTGTCGATTGCTTACGTCTTGGTTGGACTGACCTACCTGTATGTGGGAATTCTGATCTTTGCGTCCTTTCCCTCCCCTCCACTGTCTAAAGAGTGCATCGAGCCGGTAAGGACCTCTCCAGCACTGCAGAGTGCATGTTTTTTTGACAGTTTTGTACATGTGGCTACAAGTAAGATATTTACTCCTGAAAACAGTAACAGCCATTCCAACAGGTACATTCCTTGGAATATTTTTAAGTGGACACTTTCAAAGAAGGTTGTTGCTTGGCTTATGTCTACATTTTCCATCAAATGCTGCAGAAAAAAAAAACCTTCCTGTTCCTCTTTGTGTTTAGAATTTTCTGGACAACTTCCCCAGCAGTGACATTATGGTCTTCGTCGCACGGGCCTTCCTGCTGTTCCAGATGACCACGGTGTACCCACTGCTCGGCTACCTCGTCAGGGTGCAGATGATGGGACAGATCTTTGGCAAGAACTACCCAAGGTAGATTTGTCAGCAAACTACAGTTAACCACGGTCATCTGGGCATAAACATTTGCTCAGGTAGCCAACAATGAAATCGGTGTTTTATTGTAAAACAGATTATTCTGAATTATTTAACCACATCATGCCTTGTCATTCTTCTGAGATGGATCAGGTTTTTTTAAATTGTCATAATAGTATAATAGTAATTCCTAATAGCAGGAAAGTGGCACATTTAATATAGGATTGGTAAACATATGGCAATATATTAAGTATGTTATCAACAGTGCTCTGAAGATTAATCTTCATCTGTCTTTTTATTTATTAATAATGCATTTGTTTTTTCCCCCAGTTTCTTTCATGTGTTTGCTCTGAATGTAATGATTGTGGCAGCAGGAGTTCTTATGGCAAAGTTTTATCCCAACATTGGCTCCATCATCAGGTAAGAGATCATTTTCCCTAGTGAGGTGGTGTTACAGATTGAGCATCAAAAACAGTGCTTGGAATAAAAACACTACAATATACGTTATAGTGAGCCATGATAGACTTTCTTATTTATACAACATTGAGACTTAAGTATATTACTAGTTTGAAACACCCAACTTTTGTCACAGATTACATACAATTTAGGCCATTGCGCCTTTTCTTTATTACAACCTTCTTTATGTTAAAAAATGCTTTGTCTTCTTGCTCATACATCAAAGCCTATGAATGCTTAATTTGATTGGCACTGAGAAGATAAGTCGATACTCCAAACTAGACTTTAGATTATAGGTGCCAGGCTCAACTCCCCATTTCAGACTGGCTCAGTTCCTGGGGTGCCTAGTGTCATCTTTGTCTTGTTCCACTTGAGATCTCAGTTACAGATTTGGTCTCTTTATTAAACTGCAGGATTGTAATGGTTCTACGCTTGCTTTGTGGTATTTTATAAGCAAACGTACCTTTTAATTCAGTGAAAAGTTTGAGTAATTGATTGCAAAATACCTCCAGCATTAAAAGAAATGGTTAAATGTTTTATTGACTACTCAGATTGGAACAATAATCAAAAGGCGCTAGGCCTTACAAGAACTAAGTTTGAAACCTCTGCTTTAGTTAAACTGATTAAGGCTGCTAAAAGTTGCATTCGTCTCGTGTTTTAAATCTCTTTCTGAATCGGTTTTGTCTTCATTGGTTCATTTGTTTATTCAAGATACTCTGGAGCAACATGTGGCCTGGCCTATGTGTTCGTATTCCCCTCGGTCATCCACATGATTTCCCTGCACCGCAGTGGAAAGCTACGCTGGCCCTCAGCTGTCTTCCACAGTCTGCTCATCCTGCTGGGCATCGCTAACCTGGTCGCACAGTTCTTGATGTAAACTGCACCACCACAGACCCCAGACAGTGACACAACCCGGGGCCTGACCTGTTGGCAGAATCGCACCCTGTAGGACATTGTGAAGCTTTGTTAACCTAAATCATCTTTTGAATACATTATATGTACAGAATATGTAGTTTGTATGTTAGAATGTGTGTATGTTTATATATTTATATATGCCGGCACATACTGTAAAGCCTTTAAATGTCTCCAGTGTTAATTTGCAGTAATTTCCACTCATTCCGATGTTTCAAAACCACTTAATTAAGGCATATTAATGAAAAACGATGATTCACAATGGATCATCTGTCCTACAGCACACTCAACCTTTTCCATCCCTAGTACACATAGAGATAAGATTTTGCAGCACATGTCCCTGCTCCCTGCACGCACTGCTCACCGGTCTGAGCTCATTGTTATTAACACCTCTTTCAAAGTTAAGTCTGAGTTTGCCTCGAAGGGCATAGTTACAGGAATTGCCAACACTGAAACATGAAGCTCATTTTCAGCTTCTCTTCAGTTTTTTTATGTCCGTCCTGCTTGAAACACTGAACTCTTATCCCACTCAATTCCCACATGAACATGCTTCTTAAAGCAGGACCTGTCTTTTGTGTGTACACACACCGAGCATGCAACACATGGCTTTAATTATGCCACAAAACTTACATGTAGAGAAAACATTTCATTCCATTGTTAAATCTCTTATGTGGATAACCAACATGTTGCAGTTGTAGAACAGAGCTGCATCCGCCATTTTTAGGGCTCATATAAAACTGATTGGTCAAAAAAGTGTTCATAACTGAAAACCATATCTACCTGGTTTGGAGATAGATACATGTACAGCAATCAAACCATTGATCATCAGTGACTCCTATGTCTGCCGACTCACATGTATCTTACCTTCCTTAAACTCCATTCTTGCGACTGCTGACAGACACACGCACAGACACACGCGTCTGGTATATGTTGGCTATGAATGCTGGGCCAGAGTGCCTGAGCAGTAGGTCTCTTTGAAGTGTAATGTCTCCCAACAAGAGGAACTAGGAGTCTGTGTATTATTTAGGATTTTACAGTAGCCTTTCACTTTCACATTAACTACCTCAGTGCAGTGTGAGTGAAGCTGCAGGTCTTACTGTTCTTCAAGAGGACAGCTGACGATTCCAAACTGATATAATTGTATAGATTAAAGTGACTGTGGTGTCCTGATGTCAACACTTCAGAATCCCAAGTCCATTAGTTTTGAGGGGGAGATGCTAAATAAGCTAATAAAAGGGTGTGCGTTTTGTTTTTTAGCTGTGACTTTTAGGTCCAGAGACTTAGGAATGGTACAATTCACACGTTAACACTATACGGTTGTAGGGATGTTTAAGTATAGGCTTGTCTTGTTCAGTTACAACACATTAATTGCAAAAATGCACCTTAATTTAACAATTCCGATTGACAAAGGGATATTTTAATTATGGTCTGAAGCCTAAAAGGATTCTAGTGTTACTACACTTAATACATTTGTATTTTTCCATTTATGAAGTTTCTTTAATCATAAAGAAAACATGTTGTGCTTTGTAAATGTTCCTGCAATTTTTAATATTTATTATTTTGAAAATTGAAATTAAGAATGACCTGTTTTTATGTTCATTTTAACAGTTCTCTAAAAAGCAATGAAACTAATCCAGAAATTCATAATTTCATATTTTGTAGATTGTTCTAAACCTAATCTAACAAATGTATTCCTGGTAGTAATTTGTTAGATTTAAATTAAAATGATATCTGGCATTTTACTTTAAAAGGTGTATGTATTTTTTTAAAGTTTAGCTCGTAAGTATAAATTGGGTTTTTAATGTGGTCTGTCGTACACATTGTGCAGCAACAAGTAGAAGTAAACAAATACAAATACTTGAAATACAAGCTCTGTTCTTATTTCTATGTGTAAGAGGATAATATTCCCTGAACTATAGTTTTAAATTCAAGTTTCAAGTTTTCAAGTTTAATTGGAACAACTATTGTTAACAGGTGCAATTAAGGGGCTTTATAAACTTAAACATCTATTGCTGTATCAGATGCTTTTTTACTGTACCTACTGTATTCAGTCAGGTTGATTTTACAAGTCAAAAGTGACATTTTATTAAAATACTTCTCTGTTCAAGAAATGTATACAGGTGAGTACATAACTGTTTTAAAATTAATCCAACATCAATCTTTTTTTTTCAGTAGCATATTGGATTTTCTGATGATTTGAAGATCCAATAATATGGTAAAAGTTCTTGAGAGAAACAGTATGATGTCATAAAAGTTCCTTCAGAATATAAAGCCAAGTCTGTTCTTCTGTTTATTACACATTTAAATATTTATGTACAAATTATATATTGACAAACATGAGTGCAGTAATGTTACTGAAATGACTGCCTTATACCTAATGATTAACACATTAGATATAACACTAGCTTTACTCTGTAAACCAGGAATTCCCAATCCAGGTCTTTGCCTCCAGTGTTTTTTATTTAATTATTTGATTGTATCCAGGTTTAATAATTTGCTAATTGGACTTTTCACCTCGGCCTTGAGATTTTTAGGTTTGCCCATGGAGAAAAAGCTTTCAGAACTCATCAAATGCATTCTTATTTCAATTTAAGGTAGAATTAAGCAACTAAGAGCCCAACCAGAGTGAAAACAAAAAAGAGCTGTGTGAGTAAAACAGACTGTCTAGCCATGCAGTGGAAGCCTATACCTTGGCTTCTTTCAAGAAGTGGTTTGGAGAGATACTTGGTCTAGCTTCCAGCAGGGCTCAATGGCATCATCTTTTTTTTTTTAACCTTTACATCCTTGAAAGCACATAAATCTTTACACTGGGTTCTTTAAGACCATGGCTGGGAAGCCCTGCTGTGTGTGCTACTTACTGCTAAGTAAGTCTTTGCAGAACATCGAACTCTTACTGTTTTGTTCAGAATGGCCCTTTTCCATGTATGTAGTGCAGCAGGACTTACATTCAGTCCAAAATGCAAAACATTATCATGTATAAATTTCTGAAGCTGTTCCTTATTTTTTGGTTTGGTTTTGGTTCAGTCAAGTTAAAACTGGTATTTGACATTATTCCACACAGTATGTCTGAGAGGACTAAGGATTGTATAACTTTTTACAGATCAAACATCCTCCAAAAATACAGCTCTGTGCAACGTCCTCAGTCCTCAAACTTTTAAATTCCCCACCGGGGGAAGAAGAATGTATTTTGAATTGAACTGAATTAAAAACCAAGAAAGGTACAATTTTTCTTTTCCCCTTTATCCCAGAGATGCGAGACATTTTATTTATTGGGTAAGCACAAATAAATATGTGCTTGCTTGCTTTTGTATTCAATAGCAGTACTTTTCTAAGGCTTGAAACTATAGAGGGTGTTGTGAGGGACTGGGCGGTGAGTGCATGTTGGCATCCCTCAATATAGAAGTATATTCTTCTTTTGAAATATACTGCAAATTCTGATGAGGAATCTTTTATTTTAAGGTTAACCCAATGTGTCTTTTCACTAGGGAAGCCTTATATTGAGGGATGATATATATTATACCTACAAAATCAGGATAGGGTACTTTCCTGTTAAAATTGAGCATGGAAACACAACAGCCTTTTCAATGAAATTAAGATCTAAATTCCTAAAGGTAGCAGAAGTCCGGGATATATACTATACAGATTGTGGTCCTGGAACACACCTGTTTTATAGTTTTCACTCCAGCCAAGCACAGGCCAGGGTCTCCCAACACCTGTGCTAGAGGTCTTAATTCCTGTGGGTTTTATGATATATTTGTTCCAATAAATGGTTGGGAGTAAAAACTTGCAGGACTGGAGTTGGGAAATTACCCTTCTTTATTCCAAACTCTTTACAGCTCTTAAGGTTATGATAAGGTTTGTAATTGGCTCATCCTCACCCTAAAGTATGTGAATTGTAGGACATTGAGCCTACAAAGAATGCCTTTTATTGGGGGGGGGAATTAGTTCTTACTTGTTTGTAAAGCAGTAAGTGGTCACTAGTTAGTAGTTTTTTTAGATAAAAATAAGGAATGAATCACTTAAGTAAACTAAAGGGGAGAGTGAACATCTTTTTCTTTGCTACATTTCAGGAGAACTATACTTACAGCAAAGTATTTTCAAACCAAAGACAAGAAACAATCAAGAAAGCTACTCAGTCTCTAAGGTTAAAGAAAGAATGATCTACTCAAGAGATGCAAAGGTGTAAAAGAGAAGACAAAAGCAAAGAAAAATGGCATACTACTCCCAGTCTCTCTATGCACTATTTGTTTCCAGAATATCACATATTAATGCCTTTGAGAGGGTAGGAGCAAACATTTGGCACCATACTGCTGTTAAGAATTTAACGACTTAGTAGCTGATACAACAGGATGGCCTTATTCAAGAGCTCTCACAAAAACAACACTTGCATGTTAAAAACGTTTTCTGCATATGCCTCATGATTAAAGGCACTTCATTGGTGAATTAAGGCATCTTTGTAGTTCCCTCCCCCTCCTCTCCCTTCAGCTGAAGAGTTCAGAGTAATCTGGATTTTCACACTTCTGGCCACTTGGCTGCAGGAGCTGCTCTCCTCCTGACAAAGTGATGGGCTCCACCTAGTGGCAAGATGGAATCACAACATGAGCATGCCATGAACTGCCTTTTCTAGGATTCATACGTGATAAAGTTTAAACAAAAAGACCTACATTTTCTCTGATCAAACATATTCCCAGTTTCAGAAAAGGAATTTGAAAAAAATTGACTACACCATTCAACATTGAGGCTTGGTTATACATATGAAATACTGATACTAAAGTGCATTTTTGTGCACATCTGTCTTTGAGCCTAAAGAATTCTGCACTCAGTCTTAAGTGCTCCTGTAATGTGGGAATTACAAACCCCAGTGATATCACCTGATATCTCAAATCTCTACATGTCAGTATCAAATAATTCTTGAGTATCTGGCTGACTATTGACTATTCTTCAACTTCATAAAGCTAACAGCATACACACAAGAAAGAACATCAAGTGCACTTAATAGAATTTACCTTGTGGTACTCCACAAGCTCAGCAAGGGATGCATGCTTTAACTGGTCCACTCCCAGGAAGCTGTAGGAACTGTCAGAGGCATCAATGAGGAAATGCTTGTATCCTTCGTGGCAGCGGTAGGAGAGAACATATCCCGTGATCTTCTCGCTCACCCTGATGAGAAAGTGCCCAGGCCCCTCTGTGCTCAGCAGCTCCTCTGCACCCTGTCGAGTTATGACTCCTTCAGGGAAGACAGTCTCGTTAGTGTTTAACTGCTGCAATCAAGGCTTTGAATCAAAAAGCCCAGTGTTGCAGTTTTCTGCAATACATTTTACCTGATATAGCTACAATTAAGCTTTCATTTTTATATAAAACATTTATATGTAAAGGTGTACATCTATGAAAAGTTTCCCTTTAGTGCTAGAACAGACAGAAGGTAAAACGTTTTATTGCAGGTTCACATCCTGTCTTTTCCCATCACTAATGGGTACTAATAAGGTAGAAGACTTGAAATAACTTAAGCTCCTTGAAACCAAAACTGTAGGAACGCTGCTGATCCACTTTAAAGCACTGTGCTGCTTGGCTCTCCCCACTGTTAGACAAGTTAACTAGTCCTTGGATCAGTGCAGGGTCCCTGCCTGCTTCAAATCCTCCATCATCGCAGTTTAGACGGACAGATTAACCTGTTTTAATGACTACAGATCAGTTTCACTTACATCTGCCATAATGAAAACTTTTGAGCTCTTGATACTCTAATACCACAAAACAATTAGCTTCATATCTTGACCCACAATGTGCCTACAGCCACTAAGTCAATGCGTGATGCTGTTAATATTCGCTACCACTATCCTGCAACATCTGGAAACTTCAGGAACATGCTACTCCTTTTCATTGATCTGAGCTCTGCATTCAACACCCTCATCCCAGCACTCCTCCACAATAAACGGTCTCACCTGACTGTTGAATGTTTCCCTCCCTACCTGCCAGTGGATCACCTCCTTCACAAATAAAAGGTAATGTGTAGATGGGCTCTTATTTATCAGACTGCCCATCTGTGAACCTTGAGGTACACTGGTGCTCTCCTCATTACTTGACTCCCTTTATACCAACGGTGACACCTTTAAACTAAAGACTAAACCATGAACAAAAGGGAAGTGAATGTCTGCTGGGATGGTGTGTCAACAGACTCAAAAGAGTGGAGTTTTCAGAATAACTCTCCAAAACCCATTACCTGGAAAATGACATTGTGGAGTGTTTCAACATTCTGGGAATAACCATCTCTAACACCCTTAAATGGGATGCAAATGATCAAGCATCATAAAGAGCACCAGAGATTGCTTTTCCTCTGTCCACTGAAAAATATAAGCTAAAAATCTCAATGTTTCCCAGCACCTTCTCTTTCCTTTCACACACAAACACAACATGTAGTGTGTATTTAACTTTGGACCTGTGCATGTTCTTTTTGTGAAGTTTGTTTTATTGATTGTTTCTGTGTTTTTGCACCAAGACAGCAAATCAAATTCCTTGTACAAGTACTTGGCAAATAAAGTGATCCAATTCTGATAACCTGGGCTCCCATTTCAACAAAGTGTCTTGGTTTTGAAAATAAGTTAATCTTAAGATGTCTTGACTGCAGTTTTAAACCGCCCGAGGTGTTTAGGGCATTAATTGAAATCCAGATATACTGCATTTTTGCGATGAGATCATAATTTAAAAAATGTTTTAATAACAAACCACAATACAACAATATTTTCCACCCAGTTCAAATAAGTTACACACCAGCCAGCAGAATTACCTAAACAATTAACTGCACAACTAGATGCAGCAAGAAATTCAGGTCTTTCCCCCAGGTAAATAAGACACTATGTCACCTTAATGTCACTGTATAAGATGTAGGCATATTTGATGTACTGTACATTTAAAAAATATTACATTTTGAATATTAAATTATATTTAGTGTATTCATGTTTGTGTATGTAGTTCTACTTTAATTTTCATTGTGTATTGTTTTGCCTGTTTTTAGATTTGTAAAAGGCTTTGAGTTGACTTAGAATGAAATCTACTACATAAAAAAGAATAAGTAAGATTAAAAAAAAACATTTCTTAAAAGCATTTAACATAGTGGAAAATGATTTCACTAGGTAATTTTGCTATAAACAGCAGTAAAGTGATTTTAAAAGTAATTGCTGAGAGGCAAATAATTGTCTTGTTTTTTTAACTTAATTCCAAAGATTACATTGTACATTGAGATGAAACTCAACAGGATAGTTTCTTTAAAAAATTACAAATCATGAATTTCTGTTTAGTTTGGTAATGCGTCTGTCCATTCTAGAGGACAACTGCAACACACTGTCCCCTGTGCACACCTCTGGGACATTAAACCAAGAGCTCAGTGCTTTAGTGGAAACTCCAACAAAATGCTCTTCTGTATAAATGGGTACTTTCCAGGTCATCACTGTATAAGAATGTGCTCTCAACTGACTGTGTATAGATACAGGTTTATTATATACCATGGAACCAAGGTGCGATGCAGTCCTGATCCTTGTCATAGCCAGCTCGAAGAGGAATCTGCTCTTCCTTGAACCACTTGATGATGACATCTTTATTGGAAGTGGACAGAGTTCTTCTCACAGCCAGTTTCCTGAAAATCGCAGGAAGATACCTACTCAGCGGGCTAATATTTAAACCAGTTGCAGATGAGCTCACTGAGGGAATGACAGGAGCAAACAGGGCAAAAGGAGTGCGCTCAGCCTGTGAGAGGCACTGTCTTATCTCGGTGCTGCTCCGGTTTATTTTAGGGTAAGAAATGATATGTTTGCTGTATCTAACCAGTTCTGACAAGGTCGATAATCATGCAAAGCAATAATTCAGGCAGGAAACTACAGCACAGAAAACTGAAGCTGCAAGGCCAGTTCACTTCCCTTTACCACACCCATCATCATAGATGAGTAATTCACTCCCTTTTGTTAACTGATAAACCCATTCTTGGGATCCCAAAGAATGGATTTCTAAAACTACTCCTGCAATCAATTGGGGTGTTTGTTTCACTCCTTCCTCTTTACCATCTCCCCTTGTTTTCTTGGACATTATGCTTCCTCCCTGCCCAGGGATTGTAGACAGCCTGAATTTCAAAGGGTTTGCTTAGAGTAGCAGCTCCCAATCCTAGTCCTGGAGACCCTAGTTTTTATTCCAGCCGAGCTCTCAGGTACACAGCTGAACCATTAATAATAGGATTAGCCTGATGGGTTTTGACTAAACAATGGTGGATATTGCCTTTAACATATTGCCCAAAATCCCAAAGTTTTTAGTAGGAAAAAACATTCCAATCAAGCATCTCGTTAGTTCAATTAAGGCTTAAATTTGGTGATTACTCTCCTCCGCAGGTGTGTGGGCCTCCAGGACCAGAACCGGGAGCCTCTCGCTTAGAGGACAGGGAAGACCACTGTAATATAGTGTACAACTAACACCAGTTTGCAGTTTTCCTGCCTGAATACTTCACTCTTTTAGCAAAAGATTCCCCATTGTCGAGCCAGAAAATTTGAACATACCTCAAAACTAAGATAAATTCAAAATACTTCAAACTACATGAACATGGTGAGAATTTAACAAAAAAAAACATGGTCTAATAATATGTCATTTCTGTACACAAAAACACTAAGTTTAAGTCATCACTATTTTTTTTATTTTGAAGACAAGTCATTTTTGTTTTGTTCTAATCACAATTATACTAAATTATTTACTTTCTTAATTCATTTTAGGTTAAAGAACTTTATAGAGATAGCATATTAAAGTCACAAAAGTGAGCTTGTCTCCAAGAAACAAACAAGAAACCATCAAGTTACAATTTTAACAGTCCAATCACATTCCTCCCTGTACATTTGGGGACAGGGTAATAATATTTAATTTAAATTATATGTATTTAATATTCATCTTTCAAGATAACATTTACCAAAAGCATTCTGAAAATGTAAAAACAGTATATTGCATGTTCTTTGTGGTAGGTTATTGTTAAGAAAGACCTAGATTTTCTAGACCATTCTTACTATCCCCTGTGATCCCACGACCATATTGACAATCCTCTAGTTCCATAATCCTCCTTTTCCATAACTATAACACTATCGTAAGGCCTGTTGGTGTAGAACTACTTGGTGCAGTGTTGAATCCAGAAAAATCTTTATGGATTGGCACTGTATTATCTATGTTCCAGTCAATGGGTATAATCCCCGTCTTGGGTGACTGCTGGAAGTGTCTAGTTTCCTTTCGTTTTTAAACTTCTTACTTCTTCTTTTTATTTCATTAACAAATTGATTAATCTTGACTATTTTCATTTTAAGTAGGTAGCTGCATCTGTGTGCGTAGGCTGCAAAGGAACAGGTTAAGGCTTATTCCACGCTGAAAGGAAAATAAAAAGAGACTTTACGTTTCGGCTGTGGAGCCTTCTTCAGGTGTCACACCTGAAGTAGGCTCCACAGCCGAAACGTAAAGTCTCTTTTTATTCTAATTTTAGTTTAACAATAAAAAATACCTTAAGGGCCATATGCCACTATGTCTCATGGACACTGTATTTCTACATAATGCCTTATGCTCCCAAGGTCCAGGTAACCTTGAGCTTGGCTGGTAACTCAGAAACAAGCTCTGACCCTTGAGACCGTGTCTGTTATATATTCAAATACAACTAGTCATCTTACCGGTGTAGCACGTTATTGTTAGTGGCCGTGCTCCTTTCTTTGGGTTTTGGGGGAGGAGAAGGTTTTGATGTTGGGTCTTCACCAGCAAAGGCTTTGGACATGGCTGCGACCCGGCCCCGTTCCACAGCCTTGAGAGACAGCCTCTTGTAGTCGGCTCTGGCTTGCTTGGCTATAGACCTCCTTCGCTCATCAGCGGCTTTGGACTTCTGTACTGATCAGTCATACAAAGGAAAGAGTCTTTCATTTGATGAATTCCAACAAGACATCCGTTCATCCATCTTCTAACTGCTTCTTCCAATTCAGGCTCGCGGTGGAGCCAGAGCCTATCCCAGCAAGCAACAGGCACATTGTTCAATACACCATGGACAGGATGCCAGTCCATCACAGGGCAGACGCACACTCATACCAAGGCCAATTTTCCCAGAAGCCTATTAACTTACCAGCAAGTGTTGGGACTGTGGGAAACCCGACTTCCAAGTGAAAAACACTGTGAACACGGGGAGAACATACAAAATCCACACTGATAGCACCCCACTTCCAGAACTGAACCCAGGGCCCCAGTGCGGCAAGTCTTGTTGCATGAAAATAGTAATATGAATGAGCTATTTTTCAAATGTATATTATATTTATATGTTTCAAAACTCTCTAAATAAAGAAAGTACCAACAGGTATAAGTTAGTATATATACAGTGGTGTATACTCAGCTTTCCAAAGATGTGATAAACCACAGCTGATTTATGTTTTAACAGGGGGGGCAAACACTTTTTCACATAGGTTTCACCATGTAGGTTTGGATTTTGTTTCCCTTAATAATAAAAACCTTCATTTAAAAACTGCATTTTGTGTTTACTTGTGTTACCTTTGTCTAATATTTCAATTTGTTTGATGATCTGAAACATTTCAGTGTGACAAACATGCAAAAAAATAAGAAATCAGGAAGGGGGCAAACACTTTTTCATACTACTGTATATATCATGGTATATAATTGTCTTATGGTATATATAAGTCTTTACGGCTGCGTGATCAGCATTAACAGCTCATTGCTTTGTCTCTGTTGAATACATACATGTCTCCTGCCACTCGGGATCGTCCCTGTCCTGCTTCTGCACCGACTGCTGGACCTCCTTCAGGTCCATGTAGATCTGCTGGGTCCTCTCCTCCTCCAGACGCCTCAGATCCTCCTCTGCTCTCCGACGCTCCTCTGCCTCCCTCCGCTGGCGAGGGCAGTGATAGCAAAGTCATGAGGACACCTCGTACAAACCCGTTTAAAATCAAAGAATCAAAACAGGATATTCACAGAGGAATACAAGAATGAAGGACCTTTTCATTTAATTTTAAATATGCTTTCCAGTAAATTCACAAGGATTTTGACACACAGGTTTTTAAGCTACCAAACCAGCACTCTATCCAAATTGTTTTGATTTTGCATTCTACATGTTTTCAAGGTAGCTTAATTATTTCCAACTTAAGCTGCCATGGATAAAGGCATTAAATACTGTAATATTGCAATTGTCATATAATTATTGGTTATAATATATTTTATACACATTCCCAACCATAATATACATGTATATTTTAGTTTTAAAATTAATGTTTAACCTTAAGAGCATGTCTTTTCTCCTAAGCATTTAATTTGACCTCACTTGCATTAAAATATGAAGCAACAATTTGTCACAGGAAACCGTTTTGCCCACTGAGATGAATTTACTGTTAGCTTCGTTATTTGTAACCGAATCTATACTGCCAGATTTATTTTGCTTTATTTTCTTTCACTGCTGTGCAAGGCTTGGAAAGGAATAAGGAAAGGCTGTGGCGAGGCTGCATGGCACCGCAGGCTCCTGGGGGCTGATAAGTAACGTTTTCAAATGTGAAGAAACACACTGAGAAAGGCACATTTGTACAGAAAAGACTTCTGTTTCAATTTTATGACAAGCATTTTGGAGCGAAAACAAATATCTTGATGGGGCTCTTTATTCATATTTTCTTACAAAAAATGATCATTAATACAGAATACAGGTGGCACAGTGGTTAGCACTGGAGCCCTGGGTTAATCTCCAGAACTTAGGTTGCTATCTGTGTGGAGTTTGCATGTTCTCCACAGGTTTATGTGAGTTTCCTCCGGGTGCTCTGGTTTCCTTCCATAGTCCAAATAGATATTGATAGATTAATTGGCTTCTGGTAAAACTGGCCCCAGATGTGAGTGTGGGTCTATGTCTGTGTGTACCCTGTGATGGACTGGCAACCTATCCAGGGTGTATCCTGCCTTGCACCAGTTGCTTGCCTGGATAGACTCCAGCTCCCACATAACCCTGTATTGGGTAAAGTGATTAGAAAATGGATTGATGGACTAAGGATACAATAGCTCAGATTCATATTTAGAAATCTCACAAGTTTTGCTGAAAACTCAAAGTCAAGCCATGCAACATTTGTAACAAGAATATCAACCTATAATATCACCCTTTCCTTCTTCCTTGACTCTTTCGTAACAGAACCTTTTGCTTTGTGCCGTGAGCACCTCCATGTTCATATTAACCACTCTTACCGCAAGGATCTCAGGTCATGAAACCTTTTTATCAGTGGATAGGGCTACTTCATATGATTTTTTTTTGCAAATGTTCTGTGCATGTAGTTTCCCCTCCATGCTTCTATCTTTCCATATCATTTGCAAACATTAGCAGGCATTTAAGATCTACACCATGTGAAATCCACATGTATGTCAACCTTTCAGACTTTTTTTGTGGGTGTGAGTATATGGCAGTTCATTTTGCAGCCCTCGTCTTTGGCTTTCACTCTTCCAAGTCGATGTAGCCCCTTTTGTGAAACGGGCCCGGTAACCGCTGCGCCTGTGGGTTCTGAGGGCCCTCCCTGGCCCCGTGTGAAGCCAGGGTTGAACGGGTACCTTTAACTCCTGTTCGGCTCTCCTCTTCTCCTCAGCAGCTGCCCGTCTTGCTTGCTCTTCTTTCTCTGCGGCTTCCTTCTTCCACACGTCGAAGATGCCCATCTGCGTGTCCATCAGGTACGTGTTGGAGAACCTTTTCACCAGCTCCTCCTCCTTCTTGGCCCTTTCCAGACAGACGTGATGGTACCGAAAAAAGAACCAACAGATGAGACCAGAAATGCGCACATTCTAGGAGACAAAGAAAGGAACCACACTCTAGTTCACAGTGGGACGTCAAGGCATGACAGAGGTATAAAGTGCTTCCCGCAAAAGAGAAAAAAAAACTGAACGTTTTGTTCAGTTTCCACAGAGCGAAAACCAGAAAACTGAATGAGGTTGTATTAAAACAAGGGAACAAGGGCCTGCCACTAGGGGCCACCATATCCGCCATTTAAATGACTTTTTATAAAGTGTGTAATAATTAATTCAATGGAATGTGGGAATGTTCACTTTGGATTTTTATTTTAATAGGGTCTCCTTGTCCTGAAATGTGTGTTGAGCAGACTAGAGAGGTGGTGGTAACTACAACACTTGTGCAGTGTTTGTACTAAGTTTGGACAGAACACTGTCAGCGTCGTTTTAGCTCCTAGGAAACAAAGTTTTTTTTGTTTTCGGTGATCAATTGTTTCACTGAACCTCGCACCGTAAAGACAGGAGTTCATCCTGGCCCTTGTGTTTAAATGTTTTTGGTCATCCATGGTATTTCTAATGGGTCACGCTCTAGCTGTGCAGAAGATAATAAATTGCTGCCCTTTAAGCCCTAAGAAATTCTTGTAGTTTTGTCGCTTAAACTTATTAAGGATGTAAGTAATTTAAATGCTGCTTTTTAGCAGCTGAAAGCTAATCGTAACAGAGGTATGGATTATGATCCCTGGAAGTGAAGAGATTTGGATAAGAATTTCAGTTATCTGCCTTATGCATGTTTACATCAGAACAAATCAGATGTTTCTTAACTGCACGGGACTAAATAAAGCACTGAGAGGGTGTTCCACTTTTCAGATTACACGGTTCTAAAATATAAAAATAAAAAAGGGTTATGTACTTTAAAGTGCTTCCTGCCTGGCCAAACTGTGAGTCAGAGTCAGCTTAAAATATTTAACTTTGAAAGGTTAGTGTTTTGTGTTATGGTAATTTCTACACAACATTAACAGTAAAAGGGAACAAACTTAGTTATGATTCAAATGTCGCACACTTGGGTGACTTTCCACAAAAAAGGATAAGAATAAAGGAACATTTAAATTAGGCTAATCTTTGGGCATATCAAACATAGCCACATGCTTATTCCATTATTCCATCCTGTGCAGTAGTGTAACTGTTTTCATATCCATACATGTAATTTAAAAAAGATCCTAAAGTGTTGAAAAGCTAATTTTATATAGGTCATTATACTCCATGTGTATCCAGGAAAATTCTAGTAAACAGACATCAAGCTACAGTGCTACATACAAATTCAGTTGTTTTTATCCAAAAAGTGCTAATTTTCTTTTCTAAAAATTCCATCATTTAAACTGTGACAAGACTTGAAATCATTCTTCCTGGCACCTACCATCATCTATCTAAAGCCAATGCAGCAACCCTATCTGTGGATGGCCCTGTACTTCAATTTCAAACTAAATTGAAGAATTCAGGGGTGATATTTTATCCAGGCTAGACTTTGACCCACTTGTGCAAAATGTGCAAAAAACATAATTCTACCATCTCAGAAATATTGCCAGACTACATCCTATATTGTCTCTGACAGAAGCAGAAAAGCTGGTCAACACATTTTTCTTTTCCAGAATTGATTACTGTCCTTCTCACTGGGGTATCTAAATCCACAAAGAACAAACTTCAGTACGTCTACTGCAAGTGTTCATATTACTCCTATCCTGGAATCCTTGCATTGGCTTCCTATCAGGTTTTGCTTTATTCAAAATCTTCATGCTCATATTTTAGACAGTAAATGACAGGGCACTTCAGAACTTGACTTAATATCTTCCAACTCCCCATCTTGCAATCGTCATCTGTCTGATTGTGGTCTCCTGTTTGTCCCCCAAGCGCTATGCGCTATATAAAATAAAGTTTATAATTATTCATTCTGAACATTAGGACACAGAAAAAAATCATTAATTTTTATTTGCTGCAAGTGACTGTGCTCTAAAATTGTGTGGCAGTAATTGTTCCAATGGCTCATGGGGCTACATGCTTTTAGTCTGTGGTAAAGTGGCCTTAATTTTACTGTTCTTTTTACATTACGAAGTCCTTACAAGGGAAGAGATACCATGATCTTGGAAAACTAGAAAAGTAAATATGAATTAAAGGCACTCCCTGGGTAAGTTACAACTAAAATGAGAGTCCAGAAAATGCTAACCAAAACATGGCACCTCTTGTCCTTCAGAGCAATACTCAAAATAACTCAAGTCCATAATGAAAGACAATCATAGGAACACAGGTTTAAAGGTGAAATACATACTTATAGTATTCACATGAGAGACTGGAGGGATACATGTTTTGAAGTCCCATATTTCATGTTTTTAATTTTTAGGTAAAAGCAATGCTACAAACAAAAAAAAAAGGAAAAAAAAACGTATTATTAGTTAAAATTCTATTACAGAAAAAGGTGTGTTTTTTTGTTTGTTGCTTAAATGATTCTCATGGAAATTCTAAAAATTTGCTCAGATTTTTTATTTTCCACTAGTAATGTAATCTGATATCTAGTACAACCCTAGCTCAGTCAGTACCTTTCCCAGAAATTCTGGTTGCTGAGCTCAATCAGAATTCACATTCAAATGTACTGTACAACTTACCCCAAAATATTTTTGGAAAAAACATCAGAATCAGCATGCTGGAGCTCTATTTTGAAACAGTCTATCTTACACTCTAGACATCACTTCGAAATCAAAATGCATATATCAGCTGTTTTACATTTAGCAGAGAGTGCAGTGCAATGAAAATTCAAAATCCTCAATTCAAAAAGAGGGAACACTAATTTATTTAAGGCACTGTTCTGCTTTCTAATCTTTTCATTAAACATTAAACACTTTTCTAATATTGCTTGAAACAGGAAGTACTGTACTGTGAAACCTTTTAATACATATCATTGTTCATTGTTTACTTTGTGATTGCTTTAAAATCCTGGACAGTGCGGTGTGGATTAGGATACCATGCCGCAAAACATGCTAGCAACCAGGCAGCAGAACAACAGTAGTCGAGCTAACAAACAAGTTATATTACAAAAGCAGGAAGATTTTCCTTGTGTTTACCTGAAGAAACAAACTGGAAAAATACTTCACACACACCCTCTGATCTTAGTCAGGCATATTGTGTTTCTGCTATGTAATAATATGTGGAAGGTCATACTTTGGTTGTAGGTTATATTAATCTACAACTTTGGTTGTAGGTTAGATTTTAAAAAAAATGTACCTCTAACTTGTGTTCTCCTCTAACAGGTTGTGAGTGTCCAAAAACATTCTAGGATGCACAAAAGTTTAGAAATTAACAGTTTAACTTAATCATAAATAACGCTTGCAAATAGAACCATGCAGTTCAGCAGAACTGTGTCATTTGGACAAGATATTCTGTTGGGGAGTTATTGTAGCAGACATTATTGCATTAATTTAATTTTTCTTGCTAGCTCTTAGCAACATTGTAATGTGGAACAATATTTTTTGTTATGCCATTGCAAATTAAATAAAAGTTATATTATATGTATATAAAATTTTCAGGAATATTTTTAATATAGTAATTTAGTTATATATAATAGCGTCAACTTGGTAGTTTGATCTTGACTGTATTATGTAGTTTTATGACAATCCATTTTGGACACAACTTATTAAAAATACCAAAACTATAGAAACTTTCCAGTACCTGATTTCCTCTCCTTCTTTCTGTGCTTGTTGGCGAGCTCTCTCTGTTATGATCTCATCACAGATCTGATCATAGGGCTTGTCCGCGGGATGCTCTCCCATAACCCAGACCCAGACATCACAGTCTGATCCCAGCAGCCATGATATGGACTTTCCACTGGCTGCAACTCAAAAACATTTATTCTAAATAAACAGAGTCCATCCTGCTGGTGTTCAAATAAGCAGAGCAGACATCGAGACATAGGACAGAACACCAGGGGGACACAGAGCAGGCAAGCGCAGCAACACCCCAAATTGTGATTTTGTCAGTAATATAGTGACAACCATGGAGATTTGTACAAATGTCTATTACCGATCCCATGATGTCAGAAAATGGAACAACTTCACCAACACTGGGAGTGCTCTTTGCAAGATGGGGCACAACTTCATAAAACTGAACTGATGGATGCAGAACAGATTAAGGGAGGGAAAAAATAGCGTCTGTGGGATACACTAGAATTAAGGAAGTCTTATAAAAAAGTGTAGACAAAAGTACTTTACATGCACAATGTCACATTTGCATAGCTTGTTTTTTTTTCATCCTGCTGCAGGCCAGTTTTACACAGTATGAGCAATATGGTACTTCATATAGGCAGGAAAATGTTGTCCATTTTTAAATATTTTTTGTTCACTTAAATCAAGTCTTACTGAAGACTTACAACATAGACTGTGAAAGCACTCTTAAAATAGTTTTAAACAAGACAAAGACAAATACTTTCAATCAGGCTTTCCTAGGAGACACTCCTAACAAAAATATTTTACATTCTTTAAAAGACAAAATGAGTATACAGGTAACTTGTGTGCAAGATAAGTTGGAAAAAGACATGCTTTTTAGAAATAACCACCACATGCTTTTATTGTTAAAGATAAAAATCTAGGTCACAGGTACTGTACCAAAGGACCGCTTTGATGAAAAAATATGAACAGCAGCACCTGGTTAAAAACACATTCTAAAATACACAAAGAATAGAATTTCTGTAATGTATAACGTTATTAGATCACTTTATAAACCATATACAATTTCTTGCATTAGGAATTAGTCTTTTTCGCATACCCCAGCTTGCTCTCCATGAGACACAGACATACAGACAGGGAGAGAAGCTTGGGGTCAGAGCGCAGGGTCTGCCATTGTACAGCGCCTCTGGAGCAGTTGGGGTTAAGGGCCTTTCTCAGGGGCCCAACGGAGTACGATTCCTCTGCCGGCCACGGGATTTGAACCGGCAACCTTCCAGCCACAGGCGCAGATCCATAGCCACAGTGTCACCCTCCACCCAATTTATTATGACAGGAGACAAACATTCCCATATAGGCAATAAAAAGTACTTGCCACATTCAGCAAACTGTATATTATTCTTTACAGTTTCATTCTTTTCTTAAAAGTATGCACTTTATATAGGTCCACGTACAGTGCATTCACCTTACAACAGAGCAGCTTGTTTTGCTGTTTTTTAACACAACTCATTTAAAAAAGTGAAATGCTGTATTGGTATAAACACTATGTTCATTTCCATTACATTTGAAGTATTGCATCCACTTTTAGTGGAACACTATGTTATGCTACAAAACAAAACAAAAATGTTTTGTAATCAAATATTGTGAAAAAAGAACAGTTGCTTCTCTTTATGCATTTACCATACAAATAATTTAAGTAAAATATAGTGTAAATTAACTTTTGTTCCATTGGTAGCAAAACAATTGACTTATTGCATTGGTAGCAAATATTACTACACCAGAGATTGAAAACAAAGGTAGTGGGATTTTGTGAACGTTTCAATGCACAGGCTTACTTCCTTGAAAATTACTAGTGGATTTGTTCTGCTACAGTATGTAATTTAAAATGCTTTTACAGATGATCCCTGCTTAATGTTATATTTATGGGAAAAAAAGTATTTATGTACAGCTTGTGCATCTTCTCTTTACTCTAGGAAATTGAGTATAATATAGATATATTAATAATATCAGTCAGATCTGGGCAGCGTCAGCAGTCTGTTCCAGTTTGAGGAGGTGACATTTCAGTACTCTCTTTACAGGGAAAGACCTGGTATGGATTATACAAATTCAACAGGATGCTCACCTGATGCTTACACATGCCGTTAACACCAGGAAAACATCTTTTGACTTCTATCTTGCAATCTTTATTTTGCATTTTTGTGCAAATGATGTGAGCATACCGTAAGCCCCACTGAGCAGCAGCACAACCACCCCTGTTTAATCAGCCCCCATCCCCAGCAACCACACTGACAGAAACATTAGTCAGCCCACAGAAGCAATTAATTAAGGAAAAATGTAATTAAGTTAATGAACAACTTTTGAACTACTGGCTAAACAAACCAGGGACTGCATATTTTGCTAAACCAAAGACTGTTTTTTTATTTACATAACATACCATTGCACCCCCCCTGAAAGAGACGCTTGCAAATTTAAAAATGTGCGATGCTCAATCCATGCTGTGGTGAAACCTTTGACTCCGATGCTTGTCCTTGGGTGAACGTTTTTAAAAATAAAACCCGCGCTAGTTCACGTTGCAAACAACTGCTGTCTACTGCAGTCACAGGTCTCTTCTATTTTAACAAGCCTTAATATAATAAATTTCCTATAGAAATGCGCTCCCCAAGCCAAAAAGTATATAACTTATAAATGCTTGAATATCTAGAAATTTGGAAGTGAGACAAGGAAAATTCTACAATACACACACATGCAGTGGTACATGTGGAGGAAACTGCAAGGTGTAGATTGACTGTTCAAAGTTCTTCCATTGTATCCACATCTCCTAAACTGCCATTAGTCTTTATCACGTCTACATACAGTATACAATAACACAACCTAGTAAGAGGTCTGAAGATACCGTACCTTTCTTAGGCTTCCTCTGAGCCAGCTCCTGTTTCTCCAGCTTGGTCTCTCTCTCTTTCCATCTCCGAACTTGCTCTTCTCTCATCTTAAAGAAGAGGATCTGTTTCTGCTCCTCGTTCAGCTCTGCCAAGAGCTCAGGCTCAATGTACATATCCGCCAAAATCTGCTGCAGCATGTTTTCAGACGTGGATATACAGTGTCACCGAAGAGCAAAATGAGGGAACACAGTGCTCGGTAATTTCCACAGAGAGCTGGAGAGCAGGAACTCCTGCAGGTAATTGTATGCTTTAGAATGGGCCACTGTAATTATAATCCTTGTGAAGGATGTCCCATTACTGTGGCTTCAGCCGTTCTGCAACAAAACAAGTTGAAGGTTTTATGTTTAAAATTAAGCACCATAAGCATAACCTTAGAAGTCTATTTTTAGACTACTTATTTTTAATCCTAATATATGCTGGAATATAAGGAAAACACCCTACTTATATTCAGAAGAGCAGCTGGAATCTTGACGTTTAGCTGAATTCAAATAAAAAAAACAGGACATTTTTAGAGTACAACAAAAGAAACTGTGGAGAAGTTCTAAAACAGAATAAACTGAATATATCGTTTACTCTGTCTACAGATTTTCCTTTTGTGTGTCCTATAGAAATTAAAACCACTCCTGCTGAGACTACAATCAAAATACATATTCAGTACAGATTACTACAAAAATATTCATGATAGATAAGATTATTTATTGTCTTGTTATCTGATGATGATGTCATCTGATCTTGGATGTCAATGCACAAACATTAACTTTTATAGCTGTACTAAGTCTCTGAATTGTCCTATTTTCTAACATCTTATTCATTCTTACTGTGGTAAGAGAGGAAACATGCTTTTATTAGTTATTTAAGATTGCCTAAAGTATTTTACAAGCAAGGATATTGTTACAAATGGGGAGATACAAAAATTGTGAATTTCAGGAATTGACAGGGCGGTTTACTCAATAAGTAAAACAATTATTCATAACTCCCAACATACAAGTGATTTTTCCAGGATGTACCCAAGCAGTTGGTTTAATTAGGGGCACATGAATTCTTACTCTTTTCACCAAAGCTGTGCAAGAGAATAATAATTTAGCTACCCTTGATTAAACAAATATTTATTAATAATGACAATACAAACACCATGCTACATACAACAAAACATACAATGTATTTACAGTATGTAAAGACAAGGCGTTTCAGTGGCCTAATATCCTATTCACCCAGAAAAACCCATACTTCAACTAAGTATTAAAATTTGAATGCCTACAGGGGCCAAATAAGAGATAAGCTGCCTTCTAAATAAATGCAATACAACCAGTTAAACCTCTCTCTCTGCAAAACCCAGTTGCCACAAAATAATTAGAGATTGTAGGTGTCATCGAATAAGGACATTCACAGTAGTTAACACATTGCATTCAACTTAATCCACACAGGAGGGGATCTATAAAGTACAATTCTCAACTGAATTATGCAATGACCAAGAGAAAGAAGATTCTACGGTCTGAAAAGACCACAATTGACCCCTTTAGTCTTAACACTTAACACAATGTTTGGCACAAGCGTAACACCACACATCATCCTGAGAACCGTTTTCCCTGCTGTGAAGCATGGTGGTGGCAGCTTCACTGTGTTAGTGTTTGGAATACTTGTGAAGACATGACGCAGAGTGGAAGTAGCAAAACACAGAAAAAAAACCTTCTGCAGTCTGCAACAGACCAGAGACTTGGGAGACTTGCAAAGAAAAATTGACAGAAATTGATGTCCAGGGGTGGAAAGATGGTGGAGATTTAATCCAAGAAGACTCCCGGCTGTGATTTCTGCCAAATGTGCCTCTCTCAAATATTGACTTAAGGGAGGTGAATACTTATGCAATCAGTTATTTTCCGTTTTATTTTTATCATTAATTTAGGAGGATCAACAGAATTTGGGTTTCACTTTGACATACAGTGTTTAGTGTCAATGGCAAAAGATCCCAGTTAAATACATTATGATTCCACATGGTAACAAATCAAAATGTGAAAAAGTCCAAGTGCTGTAAACAGTTTTGATCGCAACTGTAAAAACTTTGAAGTCAAGGAAAACTTCTGGGGTTAAAAAAGAATCACCTTTGATGAGTTGTATCTCATGAATGGATGTCAGCCAGGCCAAATATTTACATTCTAGGTATTTCCCTAAAAGACAAAACAAGCATGGAAAGCTGAACTAAAATCAAAGCAGGTTGAGGTTATGGTAATTTAATATTGAATACTACAAATACAAATGCAAAAGTGCACAAATTGAGCTTCTTAAACTGCTTCACAATTGGCTCCACTAGCCCATATTCATTATGAAACAATTAAACAACAGGGAAAAACCAATACAGTGTATTAACCAATATTCAAATAATATGAAATAACTATGCCTGTCAAGACTTCATAAATGATTTAATGAGTCATTCTCCAAATATTTCCATTCCAATGGGAAATTTTAAATGATTTCAAAACATAACCATGCTTATACCTCTCCATTCAGAGGCAAAATACATTTGTTTTTCCTGGTAGAATATGACCTTGACATGAAAGTCCATTCAGCAACTAGATAATGAAAGCAAGAAACTGTTACAGTCGTTCAAGCTGTGCGAGTAGATTGGAACCCTTCTGTTGTTTCTTCATTTAAAATGTAGATTCTGCTCAAAGACTGTATAATTATATTGGTTGCCCTGACTCCAGATATTACAAGGGCACATTATGTGCGCTCCAGGATGCATTTTCTATGGAAAACAGTTAAATAATATAAAATTATTTGGAGATCATGTAACAGAATTTAATATAATACTAACAGCTTTATGTGAACTCTTTAAGAGTTACCACACTTCCTGTGACCTCAAGCTGGTTCTGTAAATTCACATTTTGTTTGCTTTTTATTTAACTAGATGCCTAGATTTCCATCTTTAACACTTACAATTTTAGAACGCTGGAAACTAATTTCTTTGTAGCAAAAAGATTTAAAAAGTGGGCCTAAGCTTCCCCTTATGTCTGCTGTGCATTTAGGCAAAGACTGCATTTCGCTTTAAAATGATTTGATCCCCAAAATATAAACGAAGTACAACAAGGAAGTGCTGAATGGGTTAACCCCATGTGGAAATCTAGCCGTGCAAATATTTAAAAGCTAAAATAAGATAAAGATAATCCCGTGGAAAATTTTATTTGAATTTAAAAAAATCTAAAAAATACACGTTGAAATACGACGTATCCAACTGCATGGGCTAAAAAAACCTTTGAACATACAATTGGGCTTCGAGACACTACCAATAACACACAAACACAACAAATCTGAACACAATAGGCTACGTCACAAGTCTGAAATAATCCCGTGTTCAATCACTGGCTTTCATTTCAATCATTATTATGAGATTTTAATGTTTGCGCATTCAATAGTAAAGTAACTTTTATGCGTTTCTTTTGGTCATGCTGTGAGGACACGACGTTGGAGTAAAGAATTAATGGCAAATGCTTGCTTCTTTGCAAAAACGGTCCAGGACTCTCAAAACAGCTTTAGCAGAAAGGAAATAAATATATTACTCAAATATTGTGTTAGAAGCCTTTTTTCTTAATGTATAAGAAACAATCCTTCCTATGCCAAACTACTTAGACTACAATGCTAGTTAGAATCGATACGCCCAAAATACTCGAATAATCAACAAATTACGTTTGCCCGCATAGCCAGAAGTCTGTTGTGCAGTAAAGGATACGTCAATATAAAGGATTTATGCAATTTAGTGATAGCCCGACACAGTGAAAAAGATTAGAATAATCTCGTTGGTTTTTCTTTGCATTGAAATGAATTCATTCATTGCTTTGCATTGAGATTTTCGTTGGAAATGGAAAGTACTTTCATTTACTAAAAATGGTTTACAAAAAAGACATTTTCAGAGACAGAAAGAACTCCCCATGAAAAATTGTAACTACTCTAAAAACATTGATAAATGTCACACAACGCTGCTCCATACTAAGAAAATAAAACGAGATGAAAAGAAAAACCTTACCATGAGTTCAAACCACTCCCGTCCCTTGCACTTTTCTCCCTTTTAAAGATAACTTCACGTCACCAAGAAACCTGACTTTTAACTTTCCGGCAATGTGTCTTCAACGTCTCGTGACATTTCTGTACGCCATATACCATGAAGCAATTTCGTTTTATCTTTCTTTGTCCGTTTGTTTTGTCGTACACGTCACATCCAACGCCCAATGCCGAAAGTAAGCTTCAACCCAAGAACACCTCTGTTCCAGGTATTACGAAAGGCTGCAGCTAAATCTCTGTTTATGGTTTCCCCCCGCCTTCTTATTGATCTGTTACATGAACAGATTGCAAATTTAATTGATTTTTTTAAATACAAAATTGCGTATAAACAGTATTTAATAGCTACCTATTAAGAATGATCAAAAGTTCAGCAGTAGTTTTGTAATTGTAGTATTTTCTTTTGGGATGTACACATTACAAAGGGTAACTCTCAACACAAATGATGCATTCAGAATGTCTCTCCAAAGCTAACATTTACAGAGTAATATATTATGTTTCCTGTGCCGAGATGCAGGTATAGGTGTAAAAATGATAACTGTAGGGTTTTTGAAATCCGAGGCTAGTAATTCACAGATTTTCCCACTTTCACTTTTGTATGTTTGTGTGAACATGTGTTTGTGTTGTGTACACATAGTATCACAGACTCCCATGAAATTTAACCCTACATATACTGTACTAAGCACACAATTTCTAACTATTAGATCAGGTACTGCATGCCTGGCAGGAGGCAGTTGGTACTAGTGCCTTACAGCCTTTACGTTGCAACAAAGGTGCAGATATTGTTGTTAAACATTAATATAAAAGTGAGAAAATCTGTTACTTTTCCTCTACTTCAAAGTGACTTTTGTTTGAAGTGACTAAGACATAAAAGGATTTAGATTTGGTCCCAGGTAAAGCTGTAAGTAAAGGAAAACAGTCAAAGTTACCTTTAACCTAGACAATGCTGGGCATGTGTTCCTTGTCAACAGTGAATGGAAAGCAATGCTGCTACAAACCCGAGTCTCTTCACGAACATATTATCATTAAAGCTGCAGTTGTGTACTAACATTTAAATAGCAACACTAAACTAGCAGACCTGAGACACAAGCTATGCTCTGTGTAAACTAACCATGTTTATGATTCTAAACACAAAAACATTGTAAACAGAACCATATCAGGTTAGGTAAAACTAAAATAATCTAGTAATAAAAGCAAAACAATTATTTGCCATGTCCTCCACTAAATATTGAACTTTGTAACAGTGAGGCAACTTAAATGACAGCAAAGTTATTAGTTGTTATTAAAGTTGTTAAAACAAGAAAACACATGTTAAAAGGATATTGAATAATAACCAAATAACTAAAACAGTTCCTATAAAGTGAAACAAAACAACAACAGAACTATAGTGTATCACACTACATGCAAAACAAACAAAAACGTTAGGACATAAAAATGTTACAACAATACAAAACTTGTTAAAACATAACAAAAGTACCAATTATAAACATGTTGTAATCGGAATGAGAAAAATCAGAACCCACGATCAGTCAGTCCAGTTTCCTTCTTTCTGGGGTATCAAGCCGGTCACTGGTTGGCCCTTTTCAACCAGGTTCCCTAAAGGGTACCCTCATGTGAAGCCAAATCACCACAGGCAGCTAGCTGGCCATCACAAGAGCTGGCCTGGTTTTCTTAAGCAGCACTGGGTTACCGGGAGTGATGCTCCTCTGGCCCAAATCAGTGCCCACTAGCTCCAGGTGAGCTCCCAGATGAGTTGACACTGTCCAATCTTGTAGCTGAGAAGTGATAAACAGTAGTGAGGCCATTGTTATCTGGAGACAAGATGTGTTTCGTGTCCTGCCTGCGTTCCTGCTGCTGTGAGACAGGTGGCTCAGAAATGACATCCGGGCTCCCCAATATCTGGCAGAGCTTGTCTGAGGACACAGAGCGACTCTGCGTGCTGTCTGTGTCTCTGATGCCAACAGGTGTAGGAGGTGAGACAGGCAGATGGTTGGTACTGCAGACAGACGTGCATTCTTGGAGAGGCATATCATCATTGGTCTGGGGCAAAAAAAACACTGTGCCTGCTGTAGCCTCAGAGCAGTTGCCCTCCTCTTAATGGGCTCTTCAGTCTCAGGCATATCGTGGAAGCCAGGTGGAGGTGCACGAAGCCGAGATTCAGTTTCAAGTCTGGTTCCTTCAGTTGTAGAGGGCTGTTGCTGTGGAGCTGGTGGCTGTGTGGCAGTCTCTGTCTCGAGTGGTAGAACGTTGTTTGCTGGCTTCTGTGCAGTAGAACATTCCACAGCGGACGGTTCTAGCCCTGACACTTGATCATCCAAAGAAAACACAGACTGGTGTTTTCCAGTGTTAACCCAGTCTCCTGCAAGACTTGTCTTTCCTTTCCTGTTTAGAGAGCAACTCACTCTCCCCTCTTTCTGCACAGTCTTTTTTACAGTATAGCATCCCATCACTATACTGGGGCATTTGGACCCACACAGACAGGAGGGTGAGAACCTCCTGCTGGCCCCACTAACACTTCCTGCAGAAACCTTATTTTGTCCCAGGAGGTCTCCCGTCCAAGTTCTGACCAGGATCACACCTGCTGAGCTTCAGTGGGTTGCTAGATGTGAGTTACAGCATGATATGGCTGCTGGCATATTAAGACAAAAGCAATGCTACCTTGTTTTTACAGGCTCTATTCTTTAATTTGTTTTGATTTTTCAATAACCATAGTAAATACACTCATACACAAATTTTCTCAAGACCACGTTTTTTATTTGATATGACACAGCACTTAAAAAAAATTAAAAATACCATTCCCCACCAATTCCTCAACAAGGTTCTACATACTGTATAAATCCCTAAATTACAGTCTAAGCTAAAAAAATTAAGGTGCTGCTGGAAGACATGTTAGTGGGACCAGTAGGGAGCGCTGTCCTGCAGTCTGTGTGGTTCCTAATTTCTCAGTATAGTGTTCACTAAGGAATTATTTATGTATTACAGTCAAACATCTACAAACATCTACCCCACATAATATGGCTTTGACTGCTTCAGCAGCTACCCCAACTCCCACCTAACTACCTTTCACTGGTATCACAGATCTTCATCCATCTACAGAACCAGTCTATCACAGAGCAGACAGACACAAACACAAACATGTACACACTCACATCAAGAACACTTTTCCCAGAGGCCAATTAACATACCAGTATGTCTTTGCACTGTGGTAGAAAACCCAGGACAAACTCATTCGAACACAAGCAGAACACAAAAACTCCATGCAGATAGCACCCCATGAATTGAACCCAGGGCCCCAGTGCCACCACTGCGCCACCATGCCACCCCTCATGGATCTTAGGTTCCAGAGGAATAATACCAAAAATGAACAGATCTTCAAGGAAAAATATTAACTACTTTTGAACACAAGATGGCGCTCATAGTATACCATACTCAGATACCGGCCTGACGAAGATAGTTCATTCATCACCAAGGTAAATTAAAGATGATTGCTTCCTGCAATTGTTAAATAAATATCCTGTATAATCTCCTTTACCACAGTTAACAATAGATTTATTTACCCTTCACAGTTGGACGTATCCAGAGAAACTAAACTGAGAGGCATTCAAAGCATAGCATATTAGTTTTGTAACCAGTTTTTGTAATGCATTTTTAAAATCTCAACCATTTTTAATGCGGCTCAGTACAGTCTATGTTATGGTTTCGTACTTTGATTAGTTTAAATCACGTTAACTCTCAGGATACCTAAAATTTAAATGGCCTTTAAGCATTGCTAAACTGTATTGAAAAAGTAATACGAGTGTTTGTTCTGTTCACTTAAAAAACGTTTTTGTGCGTTAGATGCAAAAATGTAATTTGTACTGCAATGCAGAAGTATGACAGCTGAATAGAATGTCATTGAATGTTTGCAGGGAGAGCAAACTTTCAGCATGAATTCAGTGATCTCTGATTTCAACAATGTGTAGGTGTCATGGGGTGACAAAAAAAGTGGTTGTACGACAGTGGGTTGGGGGGTATGTTTACTTTATGTAACAGCCAGTATTTCTGTCAGGGTTTGTTGTGTTTTTCTCCTTTGTCTCTGCTCCCCTCTCGTTATTCAGGGTCTCCAGTGACAAACAACATTCCAATTGAACGACACACTGTTTGGCTCGACACCCATCAATTACAACATGATCAGCGTCGACACATTGGATTGTGTGGGGACCCTGAGCAGGCTGAACCAGTCGTGGAACAGGGGAACAGAGAGCAAAGAGAAAGGACAAAGGAAGGAGGGACTGTTCCTCATGTAGTCCCCACTTGTTATGTCTGGTTTCTCCCCACGATCACCCAGACACTCCCTCCCTTCATTCTAGTCCTAAAGTTCTGGGGTAAATACAGCATTCATAGCACATGTGTCACCTTATCTTACAAGAAAACCATTGTTAGCTAAGGAGCCAGAGGATGTGTGTTGTCCTTCTGGATTAATCTGCCAGGAGGGCAGCCTGTGAGGTCCCTGGGCTTGATAAGATAAGATAAGATCACTTTATCAGCCATATACAATTTCTTATATTAGGAATATAATACCTCAACTCCATGAGACACAGAAAGAGAGAGAAAGGTCAGAGCACAGGGTCAGCCATTTATACAGCACCCCTGGAGCAGTTGGGGTTAAGGGCCTTGCTCAGGGGCCCAACAGAGTAGGCTTTCTCTGCTAGCTATGGGATATGAACCGGCAACCTTCCAGCCACAGGTGCAGATCCTTAGCCACCGCACAATGATCAGTTGATCAGGATGTGCTGATGTAGTGTAATGCAGGCAGGTAGCCATTCTTTACTTAAAGGCGAGTTCTGTAGTTCAGACCTCCCAATCAATTAGTCTGTTGCACACAACAGTTACCACAGCATTGTGCACATCTGTGCCACACTTGCTGATGTCCATCAGGGTGGACATCAAGCAGAAGCCCAATACATTTCTAAAGAGGATTTGGTTCATGCGCAGCAAAGGAATTGTGCTCTTGACACATGGGGCATATTGGGTCCTTTCTGTGTTTTTCTTTCTCGATTTTCACCAGTATTGACATTAAAAATGGGAAGCAATGGTCGTAAGGTAGGGTACAGTACATACTGGACAGGACACTCGTCCACTGCAGGGCAGACACAGAAACAAGCACACACTCACACTAGGGCCAGTTTTCCCAGAAGCCAGTAACCTACTGCTATATTTTTT